TTGAGATATCATTGTGAAACTGACCGGCCCTCAGGTAATTCAGGAATTTTTTTCGTTCATCTGGTTCCATCCCGATTCGAACTCGGGTTTTCTTTTCAACAGTTTATGGGTGTACCAACTGAGCTATAAGCCAGTTGGCTAGATAGGTCTTAGTAGCTTTAAAGTTTAAACTTCTTTCGATGTGTGGTTCAAAAGAAGGCAAGAAGCAGAGTTGGGGGGGGAGGCGGGTGTCCAATAAGGCAAGGGGACAGATTAAAAGATCAGAATCAGATGGCTCCATCTCTCTCTCTCTCTCTCTCTCTCTCTCTCTCTCTCTCTCTCTCTCTCTCTCAATGATATTTTGATCTCTGTCCTACCAAAAAGGGTTGCTGCATTCGTTTGCATGTTAACATTGATACATGAGTGACATCTCAGTGCAATACCATTGGGGTGGGGGTGGAGGACGAGGAGGAGGCAGGACATGACTCTGCTGTGGCTTTCATTGCCAACTGTCTCGCGGAGAAGGTAGCCTAGAGACGAGTCTTCGTTTCTGCTCTCATAGCTTATAAGTTGTCTTGCTGTAAAAATAGTAGAGCAAAAATTCACTCTTGCAGAAAAGAGTCACTGTTGTTGTCAGGTAAACTCTCAGAAGGGGAGGGGAAGGAGGAGGAGGTAGGAGGGGGCTGAAGATGGTGGTTAGGAGAATCCCTTGGAAGACGATGAAAATGAGTAGCAGTAGGAGGTGGGAACTTGGGAAGTGAATTGATGACGAAGTTGGCACTGTCACGTGTAGAGAACATGAGGAGGAGGAGGAGGAGGAGTTGGAAGAGAGAAGTCGATGAGGAGGAGGAGGAGGAGGGGAGAAAGGCGGTCTGTTGGTGATTGTCTGCTCTTTTGGAAAGAGGAATGCTTCTGCGGAATGGTGCACGTGTGAAACTGTTTATAACCAGATCAGGAGTTTGAATCCCGACTGAATGAGGGCACACTCACACTATGCTTTTTTACTTATTTCTGGACGGAATTGCGGCCAGATGCATACAGGTCTGGCTGGAATGCGGTCAGATACATTTACGATGGTGGTAGTGTGAGTGCGCCCTGAGATAAAAAACGAAGTGGGCAAAAAAGAAAAAAAGAAAAGGATTGGCCCAAGCGGGCTAGCTCAGTTCGTTGAGCACGGAAGTGGCACTCAGGAGGTCGTGGGCTCGATACCCAACATCGTCCTTTCGAACCCCGCGGCCTCCTGGGGGTTGCTTCGGGTTCACCGGTGGAGATTGTTGGCTTGGCCCTCCTGGCTGGTTGTGGAAGTGATTCCTTCCAGCCCGCGCCAGGTGTTGGGAGCTTGGTTATTGCTCCCTACACACACATAGCAGCGATAGGTAGCATCTAGACCCATAACCTTTTAGGATAGCTTAGCTCTAGTTAGTAAATTTAAGGTGGCCTTAGATCCTAGCCCTAGATCCTAGCTGTGGGCTCTAGTCTTAGATCTGGGCACCCTTGATGTGCTAACAGGCTTTTCCACCCCTTGCTTGTCTGGGGTGATAGCGGCTCTTCCTGAATAAAGGTGACCCATTATCTGCCTTGTAGGGCTTGTGGGTAGGACCTAGATATGTGTAGCTAGTGTGAGGTAAAAAGAGAGAGAACTTTTTGGAAATACTTCCGAAATAGGGTAGGGGAAAAAACTTCAAAAAAAGAAAAGAAAAGAAAAGGAATGCCTCTCCGGAGTGAGAGACCTTTCTAAGGGGTGGTTGGTTTTGATGCTGTGATCTGCAATTGCATGCATTTCTTTTCTTCTCTGGCAGGAGTTCAAGGTCTATGGTGGATTGACGTCTAATCGGATGGTTGAGATTCTTCATGCAGGTGAAAGGAACTTAAATTTTCTTTTTTTCCGTTTTCGTTGTTCTTGTGCGTCTTAAAGACTAACTCTCAAATTTTGTTATGTTGTTGTTCTGCAGCACGAAACGTTTTGGAATCCTTTTTGTTAAACAAACTTTCGAATTTTTTAGTTGCTTTGTCGTCCTTCCATCCTTCTTCCCTCCTCCCTTTACTCTGCCTCTTTTTCACAGCGTGCTAGTTGGGGCTGTTATGGTGGCGCACGGGGATGTAGGCAGATTGCGCTCACGTACTTTAACATGACGACCCTTGCATGCGAGAGGAGGCACAAGTAATTGGGAGCCAAAAGAAGAAATAGAAGAGAAACTATGGAAAAAGCCGACGTAAACAAGGGACGCTGGACCCGGTTTCCAGAAGGTGTCGCTCCCCACCCATAGATCGGAGCAGGGCAGGTGCCAGGACACTAGTGGAGGCTGCTCCTATCACCCTCTCTATTGAGCCTGCTTTAACCCTTTTACGTTAAAAAAAAAGGAAGAAAAGGCATACTCACACTAGCATTTTCCTAAATGTATTTGACTGCGATTAGGGCCAAACCTGGATGAACCTGACCGCAATCACGTCTATAGCTTAGTAGAAAAAAGTCCTTGTGTGAAAATGCCCTAAGGAAAGAAAGAAGGAACTGCACGCCAAAGTCATACTATCACTTTCTTAAATGAATCTGACTGCAATTGTGGCTGGACGTGGATGCACCTGACTACAATCAGTATGGCACTCCCTACCGTGCCCGCCGGAGATTCTGGTTTTCGGGACTTGGCACTGGTTGACATCTCTGCGAGGATCTGTGTTCTCGTCAGGCCTAAGGGGCCCTGTTGCGAATGTGCCCGCTCTAAGTGAAGGCAGGCCTAACAAAATCACGAGTGGCCCTCAGCTGTCAATTTCGTATTTGGGGTCCAGGCAGTTTCCACGCGCCAGTTGGTTGAGGGAAATACAGGCCGAGCAGCAAGATATTCCAGGGCCTTCCAGGCCTTTCCAAAATGATGCAGGCCCTGGACGAGATTCGCAGGCTCATACACAGACAGTTGGGAGGCCCAACTGAATGAGGCCCAGTACCTGCAACAGAGGCGCAACATCCTGGGGCCTACTGGAAGCTTCTGGGCCCAGGCCCAAGCCAGACAGGCTGCGAAGGCAGGCAGGCTCTTTCCATATAGGAAAGAGGTCGCTGCCTGGATAATCATTCAAGCACTTGCTGGCTGGCGGCAGTGCTGCTGGAGCTTCTGCTCGTGTGCTGGCTGCTAGCGCTGGAGCAAGGTGCTGCGCACGTGCGGTCGTGTGTGGAAGCAGGGCGCTGCTGAGGGCAGCGCCATATCCCAGCCTCCATAGCTGGCTGAGGGCTTGGTTGTACAGTGAGGCGCAGGGTTGGTCTTCAGGTGTACAGAGGGAAGACGTGGGAGTAAGTCAGGGGAGATGGAGAAGGATGATGATGATGATGATGATGATGTGAGGGCACATACCTGGTATTGGCGATGGTCTGCATTGGGCGGCATCATCAAGTACTTCGTGGGCTGCTGACGTCAACAGTTGCATTGTCAATTAGTAGGCAGACTGTAGCTGTGTAGGAAGTAGGCTGGGCACCGAGCGCCAAGTAGGGAGATAGGGCCTGGACACTCGTGTTGGTGGTGGCGAGAGCAAGCTCTCATTGACATTGGTTTTCAGTGTTCCGATTCTTCATTGGTGTTATATTGGTGCATTTCTGCTTTCTGGACACTGTGATACTATCTGGCCTACAATGTGATTGTGCATTCTGGACATTGTCATCTCGCTATTGCCCATTTTCCTTGCAATTTGGTATCGGAGCTGGTTCGAACTGCGCTTCATTGGTTCTTTGCCATAGCTGTTCGGTGCTTCGCATGAGGTGTGGGGCAGTGGCAAGGTTTGGGCATTGAACAGAAGGCAGCCCAGGGTCGTGCGGGCGCACCAGGAAGCTATGTGGTGACATTAGGGGTGAACGCTGGATGATGAGAGCTCGCTGATGTGGCATTTAAGCCGAGGTGGAACTGCATTCTGCTGTTGGTTGTGCCGAGGCAAAGACCGGTCATCATAAATGCACATCAGGTTGCCGGTGAGATATTTGTGGTTGGTGGCAGCATTATCAGGTATGTTGCTCTCTTCCTTATCTACCCTCTTCATTGCTTCTTACCGTGAGGAAGTGAGTTCGGTCTTGAGAGTCCTCTCAATGTGAGGTGTCGCGAGCGCTCAACCTTGAGAGTCGACATTCTTCCCGGGCAGCAAGCTGGTGGGAGACGGGCGAAGCCTCTGAAGGGCCCTGGATGAAGCACTTGGGTCACGATCACCATGCCAACCCGCTGGGACTAGTGCACGCATGCTTTGCTGCAAGTCCTTGGTTCTTCTGCTCCGCAATAGAGGTCATGCAGGGCATGCCACCCCTTTGGACAAACGTTTACCAGACCATCTTTAAATATTTTTGGCGGGGACTTGGTGTTGATTCTGGCTGTAACTGTTCGCTATGGCACTAATTAGATGAAATGTCGTCCAGCATGCATCTCCACAGGTAATTATTTTTATTTTGAGTACTTATTTGTACGGACTTGTTAAAAACTGACAGACAGCTGCAGATAGGTTAGTTTCCTTCCTTGCTACATTGCATTCTGTGTAAGAGTAATCTAAAAATAGAATTGAAACTACGTGTACGACTCGACATTGATTGTTGGTTACCACTTGACTACTTCTCTCTAGGTTGACCTGAAATAGTTGATTGTTCATACCCGGTTGTGCGTCATGCTGAGGTAGGATTCAGTGTGGACTCTAGTTTAGATCACACACACTATAGCTCATGAGTGCTGCAGGCGGTAGTGAGGAGGAGGAACGAGTAGTGGAACATCTTAGAGTGACTTGTAGAACGGCACTCAATCAACCGATTACCTTCTTGGAGTTAGGCCAGGGAGAGGAAAGGCGGCTGCGAAGGGAAGCCAGGGAAAGGACGATATTAGAGAGGGCTAGGACAGCAGCAACCAACGCTGAAAAGACACTTGCAGCAGCAAGACTAGAGTTCAGGTTGAGGTTGCGATGGCTACCTCGTCTACATTGTCACATGCCTTGTCCCAGGCCTCTTCGTCAGGTGGCAGTCAGGGTATCTGTCAGAGTTTTGTTAGTCAATCTGTTGGCTCACAAGTCAGCCAGAAGATGCCACTTGCACCTGAGGATTATGAGATCCTCCAAGCAGAAGAACTGCATGATCAACTACAACAACAATTGAGAGATGCAGCAGAGAGGGACAAAGGGCTATCACTAGAAAAGCTAGACTAGGAGCTAGGAGGCAAGAGTTAAGAAATCTAGAGGCACTAGACGAGTCGACACTTGACTCTGCAATGCAAGCGCTACGTCGCTCACTCCTTTGTATGGCAGAAACGCAGGTTGTCCAGCAGGACCAATAGTCAGTGGTCAGGTTCTGATTTCTTCTCCCGTACCATCGAGGACGGTGGCAACTACAGTGCCATTGTCTGGACAGCCGCATGTTAGTGTGCGGCAACCTGTCTCAGTGGTCATGCAGCCACTATAGCAATCGCCTGGATAGGTCCAACCTATGCAGTGGATGCCCAAGATACCCTTGTTGAGTCCCAAGCCCTTCTTTGGCGATAGGAAGAAGGACGAGGACTTAGATACCTGGGTGAGGACTGTGCCTACCTATGTGAGGCACAAGCTCACCAGGCCAGAGCAGGAAGTCATAGTTGCTGCTTCCTTTTTAGAGGGATCGGCAATGCATTGGTTGAATGGGTTAGTGCAGCAACAGGGCTAAGGTCAAAATTCTGATGCCTGGGCCCAGGCCCAGACATTGGAAGACTTCGTACGGACTGTGTATAATAGGTGGCATGACCCTCAAGGGGCTCAGAAGGCCACCGACGTGATCAACAATCTTTGTGCCAAAAGGGAGAAGAATGTTCGCGAACTCACAGACACCGTAGAACGGCTGCTTGTGGTACCTTGTGTGCTCTATGACCAGCATTTTCTCCTTACAAATTACCTGAGATGTCTGTTTGTAGAGGTAAAGACTAAGCTGGTGGATGAGGCCTATGTCGACCAACATAACTTCACCTCTTTTAGCAAGAAAGCCTTAGATATAGAGGCAAAGCTTGGGTCCGCGCATAAGAGTCAGGGCGGTGGTAGGAAGAAGAGACTTCCCTAGGACTGGAAAAAGAAAGGTCGGCTTATGTTCGTCGATCATGATGGTCTGGTGACAAAAATTAACGACTTTCCAGACTAGGGGACGAGACAGAGCATGGTGGGGCCAGTGAGACTTCGGATGGGGGAGTCGTGGCACCTATCAAAGAAAAGGTTAGGGGGATCGGGAAGAAGAAGGTAGGCCGGTCTACGGGTCAGGGTGACCAAGGAACACCCGCATGGGTAAAACTTGGTTTAGATTACGAGGTATGGAGGGACCGAGTTGCCAGGGGCACATGCATGAACTGTGGCAACTATGGCCACATGTCAAGAACTTGTCGAGGCAAGAAGGTCACCACGAGGGTAGCCGCTCCAACGGTAGTGGGCTTATCCTCGAACCCTGGTAGTGCGTTTGCGAGCACTTCGCAGGGAAACACCTGGAGCTAGTAGGAGTGTTAGCCGCTCTTACTCGTGCTGAAGTCGTAATGTTGCCTTCCCCACTTCAGGTGTTGACCAAGGCTAGTGACCCAAAGATCGCTCTGCAGAAACATTCAGATCCACCGGCGCTCTGTTCGAGAGATGTGTCTGAGTCCTTAGAAGAGTTACAGTCTTAGTGGTCAGGGAAGGACCCCATAGACTCTTGGGCGATGATTAGGAAAGGTCAATGATTAGGAAAGGTCCTAAGGGTGAACATTTCGTGGTAGAGGTCAATGCAGGTGGCCGCAAAGTGGGTGCCTTCGCAGACATAGGTTGTACACAAAATTTCATTAGTCGTGCTTGTGTGGATAGACTACGCTCAGGGGACCAAGTGCAGCGGCTTAGCAGAAATGTAGCCTCTACGCTAGCCAACA